CCTCAACTTACTTTCTCTATCATGCCTTCTATATATTACACACACACATATACACCTTCCCAGGTTGCAGCCCACAACAGCTGTCTAACTCCCAGATACCTATTTATTAAGTGAATAGAGCATCAGGTGAAAGGAAACACTACCTAAATAGTTTCTGTCCTGGCTGGGGATTCTTCCTGGATGTATAGATTTTGTATGTACTCGGCTAATTGTACTTGCAGAGGTTGAGCTTCGGCTCTGGTCTCGCCTCTCAACTCTGTGTGCGTGCGTAAGCGTTCAGCTAAATAAATAAAAGTACATATTGAGTTACAAGTAGAATGTTGGATTTCTAGATGAGCCAGTACAGTATATAGTAGGCCTAAAACCACTAATACGCACAGCATTTCGGGCAAGATGTGGGGGGAAAGACTTAAAACCTAAGTCTTAAAGATTGAGATCAAGCGCATGATTTTAAGCATGAGATCAAGTCCTATAATCCTAATTTTCCCTGGAATACGACCCGCCAAATCTTTTTTTTTTTTTTTTTTTTGAGATATATACAAGAGTTGTTACATTCTTGTACAGCCACTAGTACGCGTAGCGTTTCGGGCAAGTCCTTAATCCTATGGTCCCTGGAATACGATCCCCTGCCGCGAAGAATCGTTTTTTCATCCAAGTACACATTTTACTGTTGCGTTAAACAGAGGCTACAGTTAAGGAATTGCGCCCAGTAAATCCTCCCTGGCCAGGATACGAACCCATGACATAGCGCTCGCGGAACGCCAGGCGAGTGTCTTACCACTACACCACGGAGACTGCTAAATTTTAACAACCAGGTACCCATTCCCTGCTGGATGAACAGAGGCTACAGTTAAGGATTGGCACCCGGTCAGTCCTCCCCGGCTAAGATACGAACCTAGGCCAAAGCGCTCTCGAAACGCCAGGCGAGTGTGTTACCACTGCACCACGGGGACTACTATTGATTGAACTGAAGCTGCACGTGTTGCGAAGAAGAAGAAATGAAGTAGAAGAAAGAATGACAATAATTACATGTTAAATTAACAGCAGCAATTGCAACAGAAGAGCAGATAGTAAGTTTTATTAAAGCAAACGGGCTACATCTAGATGTACTTGAAGGGTCAAGCATTAGCTCCTTAGCCCCGTCTTATCACTGGCACTGATCTTTTCCCGCCATAACCTGCAGTTTCCTACTGGAGGTCTCCTCACTTTCTGCCAGTTTTCACGTTACGCCATTTTTATTAAGTCTATATAGCAGTTTTTTGTGGAGGATGAAGTAGAACACTCTCTGGTCTTGAAGGATACGGTTATGTCATCCTTCTCTCTCCTGTTTTATTACTGTCGTTTGGTCGTAGAAACTTATTATGTTTGTTTCACGCAAATGTTTTTGACCTCACTGAAGCCATGTTGGTGCCTAGAGACGGAGATAACTTTCCTAAGTGCTACACGAGTCACCAGGAAGTGGAAGGAATGAGTCTCACAGACGTCGTTCAGTGTTATCTCTCTCTCTCTCGCTCCTGTGGAAGAGCACTGCAAGAAAATGGCTCAGTGCTTCAACTGTTGTTTGATGAGTGCACAGCGAGACTTAATCTGGTGCTACAGCTTCGTCGTATTTAGTTCCTGAAGGTGTCGTCGCGTCTGTTTCACTCGGTCAAGTTCAAGTATGTTTATTGAGGCAAGAAAGAAATACATATCAAAGGGATAGAGTAGCTTATATTTCTACCGCCCCTTCACTCGGTCTATACTCACTCTCAGGTTCTGAATCTCCAGATACCTGAAACGCTATGCTCGTATTAGTGGCTTTTGGTATTGTATGTACTAGCTGTCTATAAATCCAACAGTATGTTTGTAACTCTGCATCCATGTATGTACTTTTCCTAAATAAAATATTTATTTATTTATATTATTTATATTTTTTTATAGTCCTTGAAGACTGCAACTTTGCATACTTTCTTGTCGTTATCTGTGAATCCTGCCTTTTTCTTTAGTCGCATCCTGCACATTTTCTGTCATTTTCCCCTCTGATGAGGTTGGTAAAAGCTTTTGCCTAGGATGTTGTATCATTGTCATACTGCTGCTCTTGCCTGCTTTATTCATCCATATTCAGTCCTCTCTCTTGTAATTGTCGTAGCTCTCTTCTGTTTTGTTCTATCTTTTCTACATCTGCTTGTTCTTCCGTTTTGCCTCAAGAACATTCCCTGATGAATTATTGGGTACTTTTGTACCGCTCGAGATCCTGCATAGGATGTACATTTACTTTACAATTCTTTAATTTGCACGTTGTGTAATTCATCATTTCCCAAGGTGATATCTTCCCTGGTTCACCTGTCCATGTTCTTCTTAGAAACATGGATTTTCTGGTAATTTCCTCGACAGTATGCCAGTAAGCCTGGCATATCCTCCAGGTGCCTCCTATCCTCTTCTCTTGTTTGCCAGGTTAGCATTGGCAGTGTTAGGACTGAGTGTGATGTGTATTTAGTCTTGCGTATGTTAGGTACACATGATATTGAGTCCTTTTCGTTTTCATGTACCTTATATATATACCTGCAGCTTGTACTGGGGAGTGGGACGTTTTGTCCAGTAAGCACAACTTGAATGGAACTGTGTTCTTCTCCGGCCAAGGTATAGCAGACAACATGTATGTAAACCTTGGCACGCAGGAGTCGCTTATTCCCCGAGGCATAATATTTAAACCATTTTTGTTGTATTAGGTCACGAATGGCCTGAAGGTCATCTCTTCTTCTGGTGTCTTCCCTCTCATGCTGAGTCAGGAAATTCTTGCGTTGCCTCTACTGGGGTTTGGTTTGTTTTATAGTTCTCCAGTGTTCTGTTGTTGAAGTCGGTCAGGAATAGTGGGCCAAGTACAGTATTTCCGCAGCTTTTTAGAGAGGATTCCTATGTTGGTTATCTTTGTCTTAACTGTTATTTGTTTCCTCCATATAGTCACAATTTGTTAACTGGTTTGTGTTCATTAGTTACACTAGACGGAAGATATAAATATCAAGGAAAAACAGAGGATTATTTGATATACTCCCAAATCGAAATAAAGTAAAGTTCATCATTGACATTGTGCGGCCCCCGGGCTGCGCCGTCAGCTGTTAACACAAGTAAACACACAGACTCGTCCCAAGATTTGTTGCACTGTTTTTTCCCGCTCAACTCATGTTCACCAGATGGGCTGTGAGTAGTTCATTCATGACCATTCATACTTGCACGCACTCTTATTGGTTTCTTGCTGTTTTATCTCTCTTTTTCTTTCATCGTCTGCGCGCATCTGTCTTTTTCCTTTCTGTTTGTTTGTTTTTTATAAATGTTTCGCTAATATTGCGTTGTGATTATTGAAACATTTTTGCTCATATCATGACAATATGTTGTTAACTTAACCTGCAATGTTAAATGGGATTCTTGTATTGTGATTTGATTTGTACTCACTGAAATTGTGCGCCTCTTGATGGACTTGAAGTAGAGGTGGAACACTATTTCTATCTGATTGATGAAGATTAAGCCACCCAAAAGGTGGCACGGGCATGAATAGCCCGTAAGTGGTGGCCCTTTTGAGCCATTACCAGTATCAAGAGCTGATACTGGAGATCAGTGGAGGTGGGAATGCACCCTGCATGACGGGAGATGTCTCCCTTGTGAATGTATTAAGATGAAGATTAAGCCACCCAAAAGGTGGCACGGGCATGAATAGCCCGTACATGGTGGCCCCTTTTGAGCCATCACCAGTATCAATAGATGATACTGGAGATCTGTGGAGGTGCGACTGCACCCTGCGTGACGGGAGATGTCTCCCACGTGAATGTGTTAAGATGAACATGAAGCCACCCAAAAGGTGGCATGGGCATGAGTAGCTCGTAAGTGGTGGCCCTTTGGAGCCATCACCAGTATCAATAGATGATACTGGAGATCTGTGGAGGTGCGACAACACCCTGCGTGACGGGAGATGTCTCCCGGACCAAATGGTGACCAAATGGTGTATTTCTATCATAGATAGAAATAGCCTAAGCTACTCTATCCCTTTGAGATCCCTTTCTGCCCGAAACGCTGCGCATACTAGTGGCTTTACAAGTTTGTAAACACCATGCTATGTATCCTCACAAACCCAGTGTACCTTCTTGTATATAAATAAATAAATGTATTTTCTCGTCTCAATAAACATACTTGAACTTGATGCTGTTAAGATTGTCAAAGTTACATTAAGGGCATAGTTACTCCAGGTATTATTATTTGTCCATTTTATGATACGAAAAAAATTGTGTTGGGTCCCCTACAGGTGTTGGTGGGGCCTAGACCATGGCCTGCTTGGTCCACTGGGTAATCCAGCCCAAACACAGAGCCTTGGAGAATATGAGAACGATGTCAAGGATTTTAGAATCCGATTAGTCCTAGATACAAAAAAGAACAAACAAAAAATCTATAGACCCTTAAACCATGATAAAAAAAATCAAGAAGAGATAAACTATAGAGCTATTACTGGCTGTTAAATGGAAGCAACCTTCGTATGATAACTACGCCGTAGAGGTAGTGCTGGCTCACGGCTCGTCGAGCAGAATAGGTGCGATTACCAAGAGTGCCTCATCATCTTGGCCTTATTGCAGGGTATAAATATGTCAGGATGTGTGAAGAGTATGCATAGTAACTCATATAGCATAAATCCTTTATTATGATCCATTGGACTGTTGCAATTTAATTTGCATGGCTGAGACATCTGCAGCGCAATTGTGAATTTTTCGTGGATAAGGTTTTATTTCGTGATGCACGCTGATTGGTGGGGAGAGAGCCAGTGACACAGTAACAAGGAAGAGGACACTGGCAAGTGTTGGAACCATTTGAGAACTTAGTGGTGTGATATACACAGTAAGTATATATTGATCACTCAGTCATCGCTCGCTCTGAACGCAATATTCGCCCCTATATTTATCTCACTTTTTTGGCCAACCCACAGATTGTCATCACTGGTAGAGCAATGTGCTAGACGGCCCAGTATCCGAGCTATCGTCCCAGTAGATTTACTACAGCGACAACTCCTGCATAAGAAAGAAATTGCAATAAAAGAAAGTCAGAGGCGAGCGTTGCATGACATATTTTGTACCTCAATGTGTTAAACAGCGGAAGAATACACCAAAACATTCGCGTGCCCCATGCACGCAGGCACTCACGCCCGCCACCCACCAAGCACAAACCGCCTTCGGCTTGCCGAATGACACTTAAATATCGAGATGACAAGATGAGAGAAGACGGTGGTTGAGGCGCAGACTACCGCACTCGTTTTTGGCGGAGGTGTACCGTCTGGGAGGGTGGTAGCGCGGCCCAAACATGTCGTCCCCTGATGAGTTGTGAAGCGGCGGTCAGCTGGCGAGCGTGGCACTCCTCTTCTCACCCCAAGTGGCACTCTTCTCTCATTGTGTGGCACTCGGGACCCCCTATCCTGCTGCTGTGGTGGAGAGCGGGCAGCGGCGGCCTTGTAGGTCTCGCTGAAACATGTCTATGTTGCCTTTCACGCCGCCCGTAGTGAAGAGATTGTTGAGTTTTAAGAAGGGCGAAGGAGAGGATAAATGGAGTGAAAAGGCAGTGAAAAGTTTGGTGAAGAAGCTCAAGAAGTCAGGTGGTCTGGACGAGCTGGAGACAGCTGTGACCACCGAGGACTCTAATACTCGCTGCATCACTATTCCCAGGTACTGGCACTGGCCCTTGCACTATCGTGGCACCCTAGCCTGGCACTATAGTGGCACCCTTACCAGGCACTCTACCATGGTACTATAATGGCACCTTAACCTGGCACCCTAGCCTGACAGTACCCTGGCATCCTAGCCTGACACATGGCACCCTACCCTGGCATCCTAGCCTGGCACTGCCCTGGCACCCTAGCCTGACACTCATGTTACCCTACCCTGGCACCCTACCCTGACACCCTAGCCTGACACTCATGGCACCCTACCCTGGCACCCTAGCCTGACACTCATGGCACCCTACCCTGGCACCCTAGCCTGACACTACCCTGGCACCCTATCCTGACACTCATGGCACCCAACCCTGGCACTCATGGCACCCTAGCCTGACACTACACTGGCACCCTAGCCTGATACTCATGGCATTCTACCCTGGCACCCTAGCCTGACACTACCCTGGCACCCTATCCTGACACTCATGGCACCCAACCCTGGCACTCATGGCACCCAACCCTGGCACCCTAGCCTGACACTGCCTTGGCACCCAACCCTGGCATCCTAGCCTGACACTGCCTTGGCACCCAACCCTGGCACCCTAGCCTGACACTACCCTGGCACCCTAACCTGGCATCCTAGCCTGACACTATCATAACATCCTACCTTTGCACCCTGACCTGGCACCATACCTTCATAACCTATGGAATTACCAAGACACCTTACCTTTGCACTATTTTGACACCCTATCCTGGTTCCCTATCTTCTCACTCTATCCTGGTTCCCTATTTTGATTCATTATCCAGGTACAGTACTCTATTTTTACTCTTTTTTTTTTCCTTGCACCCAGTCATGATACCCTATGCTAGTGCCTTATTGGTACCTTATCCTGGCACCCTTTCCCGGTACCACGGCACTGTGCCGCCTCTTTCCGTCGTCCACCCCTGCACCACACACATTTGCTTGACATCAGTTTGGTTAGTGATATATCCTGGGTCAGTCTTGGGCCCCATTAAGCTGTGGTGCCACTTTATACACCGTAGTGTCAAGTCCTGGCTCGGATATCAATATAATGATCATTAATGAGTGGTGGTATTTGTGGTGTATAATAAATCCAGAGGTAATTAATTATAATTCATTGTGTTGGGAGACAGGCAGCCAGAGTGTATACATATATGTTAGGCTTATATTGCAGTTCTTTCCCCCCATCCCCCTCAAGGTCGAACTGGGCTGTGGGGACATTAATTCTAGGAACCATGAGGTACATAGGTAGGCCTGTGAAAGCAAAAACAATCCTGAAACCCCCTTATAAAAACAATAAGCAAACATTAACAATTTCCTGAATATACTTGAGCGTTTTATTGGTTTAGATTCAGCTACTCTGAACAAAATGTTCCAAGTAGCACGGGCTATGGTGAGTCCGTAGTCGACTTACCTGGCACAGGAGCGGGGCTGTAACTCTATACTTGAGTGCCACCATCTCTAGTGATCTTGATGGGGAGAGGAAACCAGCGGCTTGTTAACAGTTCCCCCATTACTGTTGAAGTGTGTTCCCAGTTACATTTTAAGCTGGAGTACTGTCTTGACATTTATGGCTTTGTTGCATAAGAGAATATTGGGTGAAAAAGCATCTCCCGTTGTCTGTCCAACATTGTGGCGTGATCTTGAATCTGCTGTTTGTGCCTGTTTGTCTAGATTACTTTCATCCAATTTGTTCAGTACAGTACTTTAAAGGTCTCTTGAGATCAGCCCTGTCGTGTCTGTTCAGTAGTGTTGGTAGTCTTGAATCCCTCGACTTTCCTGATATAAGAGTTGACTTGGTTCTGGGATCATTTTTTGTTGCTCTGGTGCATTTTTGTCAAATATATTTGTTCTTTTGAAAATGAGGTGTCCAGATAGTGGCACACCAGAGATTTGTACAGGTGAATAACCACTTTCTTTTCCTTGAAGTCAAAGGTTTGTTTGACTGTTTCTATAGTTTGGTTGACTTTTCTTTTACTACAACTCTTCCTTGCTATTTAGCTGTTGCAGAAAAATTGGTATGGTAATTTAACTGCTGCAATGCTATTTCTGAGTTAGGTTTAAAATATTCTATGTACATCTTATGTTTGTTACATAAGGATTCAATGCCTGCCTTTGGTTTCTGATTCTTGGGGACAAGAGCCCTGTTAAATTTATAGCGGTCTACCTAAGCCTACAACTGACCCTTCCAGGATGCAACCCACAACTGTCATCTAACGCTAGGAGAACAGAACCATGTGTGTAATAAAACGTGTCCAAATATCTTCACTGTGTCCAGGAATTGAACTTGGGTCAAATTGGTTGTAAGCCGACTGGTTTGTGTTTAGCATTCCACAATAGGGTAGCATTGCATACAGCTCAAGATCGTACACATGCTTATGAATACTGCACATGCACTTATAGGGCTCTTTTACTAGACAGTTTTGCTATGCAACAAACATTGGCAAAATATCAAGCATTATTTTCCCATATAAATTAAAACTAAGAGGGAGTAAAATTGGTAAAGGTTTGTAACAGTTATGTATAGTTAGGTTTGAAACACAGTTAAGAGACAGATACTTCAAAAACAAATGTATGCAAATTATAATTAAATACTACACAAGTATAACATCAAGAAAGTATATTTTACCTAATTCGGTAATTGGTTAATTTTAGTTGAGAATGGGTTGGATATTATAAAGTTTTGTCAAGCTTTTGTGTTATAACACTGAAGGTCATGCCTAAATTTACCTAAACTATGTTATAATGTTACTTATGAGCTAAACATTTTTATATGCATCAGTTAATTCTTACATATTATACAGAATTATTAATTCTTTTCTAGTAATATCTTTGATTACAGTATTCACTTTTTTGAGGCAGTAATCCTAGGGCCAAGTGCATCAGACATAACTGTGCTATTTCCTGTATTGTACCAAATTCTTATATTCTTGTTTGAGAGAGAAAATTGGCCGTGTTATTTAGCTACCTGCACTCAGCCAACCCTGACTTCACCTTATCAATCCTGCTCTATACCATCCCATCCTAACCTAATAAAGTACATGCACCTTGAAAATAAAACAAAAATACTTTTGTTAAGTATAGATTTAGAATCATTGGTAACCGTTCCTTCACTTTGTCCTCATAGCCCATTTTTTTGTCTCAATATCCCTTGCAGATGGTTTCCCAGTGTTGAGGACACAAGTGATGTTAGGCTTAGAAAAGTCCCTCAGGCCTACCACTGACCTTACCCGAGATGCACAGAGCATGTGCCATTACTATACTATATATTCAATATTATGGTGATGGTGCAGAAGCTAATATACTTCTGTTTCCAACCATCTAGGTTTACTGCTAAAATCTTTCATGGCAATTACAATAACTCGTTAATTTAGAATATTTTCTTCACATTAAACTTTGTATTTTTATTTAATTAGATAAATAAATAATGCAATTTCAGTACAATACAGTATATTAATAATAAGTAATACTTAACTAACTACTATCAGCCATAAGTCTGTATCAAATGTAAGGACGTTTCCACATAGCCATGGCCAAGACTAAGTTAGTCTTGGCCATGGAGAGTAATAGCACATCTTGCTCCCTTTTTGTTTGTTCATCCTTGTACTGGTCCTTGAATTAACAAGGCCCTTCTTTAAATGACAAACTTTATTTAAAAGATCACATAATAAAAATAGTAGCAATTTTTCTGCCATGGCTAAGGACCAAGCCTGCGAGGATTATTGTGGTTTCTCTAGCTAAGGGTGAGGCTGTCTGTGAAGTCATTCAACTAGTATCAATCCATTTATCAAATATGTATACAAGTACTGTACTGGTCTATAATAAGAACTATTGGGTGAAGTACAATAAAACTTGTACCCAAAAAGCTAACATTTTTGAACTCTTGGAATACTTTAAATAACATGCCAGAAAAGTGGAACAGTAAGTAAGTAATTATCAAAAGAAGGCACCAAACCGGGAAGGCTATGTAGCACCATCAAATACGCAAAATAATCAGAGGGCGCTAAATATCACCAAGGATGCCAATACGAGAACAAAAACGCATAAGGCGAACGATATCAAAAGTATCCGAGTCACCAAGAATTCTATCGAGGGACAGGTGACCGCGAGGGGCGGTCGGAAAGCAAGACACACGCTCGTCTTGGAAGTCAAGTGGAACAGTAACTTTGGTCTATTCAGTACTAGACCTAAATAAGCAACTCTAAACTTGCTATGTTATCTTATAGTTAATACATATATATATATGCTATATTAGGCTTAGGAAAGTTTTAGTTTGGTTGGTGTCCTTTATCTTGCATCTCCTACAAAAATTAAATAGTAAAAAATGTGAATTCTTTTGGGTGCAGCAATTCATTTTTGTAAAACTAAATTACTGTGTGTTCATTTGAACAAGCTATCTTAAAAAAATTATCATCACAGCCAACGAGTCAGTGATATGCTTCATATTTAGCAATGCTTTCACTGTCACTTGTTGATAAAGTTAATCTCGTCCTTTTAAATATCTCCAATAGCAATTAGCCATTAACATTTTGATTGTATGTCTATTGTAATAATAGTGGTCTTGATAATGAAAGAAGTATGTGGGCTATGCATCCTTAGTTTTCAGTAATTTGTCTATTAGAAATAAACTAGTGGCAAAAGAACATGCGTCAAGCCCGCAGACAGACTAGACAAGTTATTAAAAAGTATGATTTACTTTATTTATTTGCTAATACTTTAAAGAATATGAAACAGGTTTTGCCCATTGTATTGCCTGGTACATGCATTTCCTCCCTCCCCCTCTCCCTTTGTCCTGCCTCGTGCACATTTGTTCTGCTATTTTCTGTTGGCATATCTTGTAAGTTACCATATGAAATGCTCCTCCACCTTCCCTTACTAAAACCTTTGACCTCAATATCTTTATGTATAGTATACAAGTATTTTATCCCCTAATAGGAAATTATTAATCTGTATTCTTAAAACTGGTAAAATTTTTAGCCATCCTTCTAGCTGCAGACCTATATCATTTGACAGTTGTTTGTAAACTTGTGGAAATATTAATCAATTATCATCTTGTCAAGTACCTGAAAGAAAAAAACATACTGTACTGTATTTTTCCGTGTGTGTGTATGTGTGCGACTAGTGGCTATATATATAATGTTACAAATGTCAATTATAAAACCTCTGTAATCAGATTATTAATTTTATGAATAATTTATTATTAAAAGTAGCCATTCAAAAATCCATTCAAAATACTCTGCATACTATAGTATCTTTAATCCTTGATAAGGCTTTTAACACCACCTGGCAGACTTAATAAGTTTTATAGCATGGTCCTCAAAGAATATAGTTCAATATAAATTATATTTTATTTTATTTTTTTATTTATATACATGCAAGATTTCTTACATTCTTGTACAGTCACTAGCACTCGAAGCGTTTCGGGCAGGTCCTTAATCCTATGTTCCCCGGAATATGACCCCACCAAGTCATTTAACAACCAAGGTACCCATTTTACTGTTGAATTAAACAGGCTACAGTTAAGGATTTGTGCCCCGGAAAATCCTCCCCAGCCAGGATATGAGCCCAGGACAAAGCGGTGGCGAAACGCCAGGCGAGGGTCTTAACCACTGCACCATGGGGACTGCTGAACCTACAGTATATATTATTATATGTATAGGTTCCTTTATCACTTTCGCGCGGGGATGATGCAGTATGGCGTCCAAAATTTTAATATTTGCTAAAATTCAGGTTTTCATCCAATTTTGGGGGGACTGGTTTTAAAATTGACACCAATGTCATCCCATTTTCTGTGATGGCCCATATGGCACCGAGGCAGCGTGAGCCAGGAGGCATTTGAGAGCTGGATATGGGTGTGTAGCGGGTGGTCCAATGCGTGTACGCTCACGGGAAACACGTGGCCTGCTTTTGGTTTGACTGTGGGTGGAGTGTGCTGCAGTTTTGGACATTATATGCATATACTCCTGTAGGGAATTCTATTGCGAACATATTGATACCAAAATGAAAAACCTACGATGAGAATTGAGGTGACCAAAGTGAAAAAGAGTATACACATTTTTATTGCTTTTGCGCACTCATGGGTAACGTGTCACCAATTTCTCTCTTTGTTGCGGGTGGTATGCTGGGCTTTTGGATTTTATATTCATATATTCCTGAAGGGAATTCTACTGCGAACACATTGATACCAAAATGAAAAACTTAGGATGAGAATTGAGGCGACAAAATTGTATAAGAGTATACACTTTTCAGTATTACCGTACGCTCCCTTGGAATGCCCAGCCCACCTTGGGGCTGGTGTGTGCTCGCTCACTCGCCCAAAGCACGAAAGTGATTTATTACCATTAATGTTTAGAGTAAGATTAGGAGGCAATCTTATCCTCCAGTTGCACCAGAAAGATGCTGTACTGCATCCTGTACACTTCAATATCTTCATATTTGTTCATAAATTTCAAATTAAGGATAAAGGGATCATTAATGTTTCTAACAGAACTTGCTACAACCCAACTTATCCCAATAAGCTGTAAATATCCAATATCCTTGCATGTGTTTGAAAGTCATAAATAGAGCTTTCAATGGTTTCAGACAGCACTTGATCAGATTTAGTGATACAATATGTTTCTTAATATTATCTCATATTGCAATTTAACATGTTTTATTATTAACAGGTCCCTGGATGGGCGGCTGCAGGTCTCTCATAAAAAAGGACTGCCGCATGTTATCTATTGCCGGTTGTGGCGCTGGCCTGAGTTACAGAGCCACCACGAACTTCGTGCCCTTGACCATTGTCAGTACGCTTTCAACCTCAAAAAGGAGGAAGTGTGTGTAAACCCATATCATTACACTAAAATAGAGGCTCCAGGTTAGTATAATATGTAGTAGTTCAACTAAGGATAAAATTAAGTACAGAAATATATAATAACCCAACCTGTCATCCAAAAATAATATAACTTACATCAACTGTTGGTTAAATATACAAAAAAATTACTGTTGAACCCAAAAAGTTCAAATTTCATACTATTAATTTTGAAGGAATTATGAGAAAGAGGGCAACAAATAAGTCTAAACTTTCCAATCCTAGTGTAGCACATGCATGCATTTAATTAGGCCAAGGACAGGTTAGGTTCTATAGGCACAGCTATCTATTCAATTCCTTCATTTGCACTAGTGTCATTAGTAATAGAGACGACTACTGTGAATATACTTTTGCTCAATTCTCGATTAAATCCCTTAAATCCTCTTTGACTACTGAAGCTATCTATAGATTTCCTAATACTAATACAACTGCATTCTCAGATAACCTAAGGAATCTAATCATACACAACAAGCTCAACAAAAATCACATCATTCTAGGAGGCAACTTCAATATTGACCTGTCAATATTGAAGTCAAAATATCAACAAAATGTCTTTCAAGTCGACTATTTCCTAAGCAGCATGAGCTCCTGTGTGCTAATTCCCACAATAACCAAGCCCACCCAAATCTCTCAAACATCCGTTACTACCTTGACCACATATGAACTAATAATAGCTCCCCCCTTGCATCTGGTATAATCACTGATAGAACAACTGACCACTATCCTACCTTCCTCATAGCAAACATGGACATAACACCACCAGATACCAAGAAACTTGCCTTCAGGCTACACAGCAAATTGGCAATAGGCAGTCTCACAAATGCACTTCACAATATAAACTGGGAATCTTTATTCAATAATATACAGGATAAAATTCATTAGCCAACATCTTCCCTTTCCAAAACCCTAAGCCTCTACAACACGCACTGTCCTCTCCTCACCAAGCAAGTAACTGCCAAAAGATTAAACGACCCCTGGCTCACAAGTGGCATACTCAAAGCAATCAACAAGAAACAGGAATATGAACAAAAACATAGGATTGGTCTAGTTACAAAGGAAGAAGTTAAGTCACTCATCAATGCTTATCAGTATAATATAAGAGCAAAACTTTCCTATTGTGAGAGTAGATTCAAAGAAGCAAAAGGAAACATGAAAACCACATGGAAAGCCATCTCTAATATTCTAGAACCTAAAAAAAAAATCACATAACAAAAAGATTAAACTCTCCAAGAATGGTTATACACTTGTAACAGATTTAGAAATAGCAACTGAATTTAATAGCTTTTGATAGCTTCTTTTCATCAGTTGGTGTAACCTTACCAGAAAAATTCCACAGACCCAGACACATGTTACTACATATCTTACCGGCAGCGATCCTAACTTTCTTCTCCTTTTCCCAGTAAGGCTGACATATGTCCATTATTCACTCAATAAAAACCAAAGCTGGGAACATTAGTGAAATGCCATCTGTGGTATACAAGAGTGCCGCTCATGCCCTTGCACCACCCATAACTCTGCTATTCAACAAATCTCTAGTGTCATACTTTCCCTGATATCCTTAAAAAAAGCACGAGTAATGCCAGTTCATAAAGGAGGTGATACAGCAGACAAAAAGTAACAGACCGATATCTAATCTACCTAGTATAAAAATATATCTATAAAAGTATATCTAATATACCTATATATAAAAATTATTTGAAAATATTTACAAACTGCTCTACTCCTACCTCGTAAAATTCAACATATTAAATCTCTGTCAGTTTGACTTCCACTCCCAAAAGAGTACCAACGATGCAATTATTAGTCTGCTTAATATAATTTACACAGCCCTCGACAAAAATGAGCTCCCAATTGGGCTCTTCATTGACCTGAGAAAGGCCTTTGATACTGTAAACCAAGCATGTCAAACACGCGGCTCTTTGCAAGCACATCTGCAGGCCTCACAATGGATATTGTACTGTAATTTGGTCATTTAATGGCCCAAATTGCAGTGTTTATTATTTAAACTATCACCTTTTAATATATTTCAAAAGAACAATAGAAACACTAATGCATAAGAAACAAAATGTTAATTTTGAACTGTTGTAATTTTTGTACAATGTACAGGTATTTGCGGCTGTTGCATAGAAGTCTTATGTTGCCCTTTAAAATTTAGTTTTTGTTTTCTTTTGTTAAACTACTTCATTCTTTGCATTCATGAATGTGTGGCCACTAAACAATTTGTATGCACATTGTATGTTTCTAAGTAATAAAAATATTCTGCAATAATTTTTATTAAACGACTTCAATTAGTTGTGGTGTGTGGCTCTCATGACAACACAAATGGGACCCATATGGCCCTCCGTGGGGCCTCAGTTTGACATGCCTGCTGTAAACCATAACTACTTCCTTAAACTTCACCATTATGGAATCCGAGGACTTGCAATGAAACATATTCGATCCTATCTTAGTGACAGACACCAATATCATGACCATCAATGATATGACCTCCCCCACTCTACCATGAACCATACGAGTGCCACAGGGCAGCATCCTAGGACCTCTCCTATTTCTTATGTACATCAATGATCTGCCAAATGTGTCTTAACAGTTTTAAACCTACAGTATACAATACTACCGTATTTGCCAGCGTATAAGACAAGCTTTTTTTATTTTTAAATGTATCAAAATTACCCTGCGTCTAATGTGGTCGTATTACGGATGGGAGACTGAACGCCATAAGCTAGGGAGCCTGACGAGCATACTTGTCATGTTTGCGGGGCGCTAAGATCGTTCCTAATAATAAAATATTGAAAACAAGCTAAATTATTACAGTCTATTATCACAAACTTACGAAAAATTGCTTACGTTATATGTTGGCAGTTATGAGGGAAGCTCGCATCATCTCGCCTCCTTACCCAGCAAACATAATACCGAATATACATATATACAGTATATATATGCTGAGCAATATCAGGCACCTTATCCAGCCTGATATACATTATAATTTATTTAACAACTGTTACCTTTAAGAAACATTTATTCATTATCTAAATGAAAAATACTCCTAGAAATTTGAAAGGAATTTACAACTTCATCTGCCTGTCAACCATTTGCAATGAGTGAATGGCAACAAAACCAGAGCGCCGCCCTGGTGGTCTGATGCAGCAACACATCCAGAAATACACGTTTCACATTCTGTTTAGCAATTCTCTTGCCCAAAATATAAACAACTATACAGCTGATCTAAGAGGAGGTAAAAGTTGGGATACAAAAACCACTTTAAAAATCTTTCAATAAATGTATGATGAAACATACTGAAATAGTTTTTTTCACAAAATATCCTTGTAAAATAATGGATTGTGTGAGGGTGTGTCTTTTATGCCGGCAAATACGGTATTTGCTGATGAAACTACCATCACCTACTCGGACCCCAACTCACACACACTAAATAATGTTGTAAATGATGAATTAAAAAAAAGTCCACTCATGGATGTCAACCAACAAACTCACACTAAACATAGAAAAGACCTACTACATTTTATTTGGAAGCAAATCATCAAATGAAATTCAACTTCAGATAGACACTGTTAACATCAGGAATAAAAATGATGTTAAGTTCCTTGGCTGAGCACCATAGACAAGAGACTACTGCAGCACCCACATACAACACACAACCAAAAAATTGTTTGGTTGTGTGCTGTATGTGGGCAACCGTTGTGTCAAAAATGGTTGGTATATTTTCTAAAATCAGATACAGGTATTATGTTCCAAACTCTGCTTTCCTCTCATTATACTACGCACTAATCTATCCCTATCTTACATTCAATATCTGTGCATGGGGTTGAACTTGATGGGCTACCTCAACCCCATCATAACTCAGCAAAAATCTGCTATCAGAACAATAACAAACTGTGTTTTCAGACAACACACAGCCCCTCTGTTTAAATCCCTAAACATGCTAAACAAACTCACTTCACACATTCTCTCATGCCATTTACATGTATAAAACGTTGTTCCTAAATGCAAATCTTGATCTGAAACTCTTCCTTGACAGGTGTAATAGAGCCCATAATCACCATACCAGAAATTAATATCTCTTTGATATCCCCAGAGTGAAACTAAATCTGTGCAAACACTATGCAAATAAAGGGAACTAGTCTATGGAACTCATTCCCTAACAAATTAAAAAACTGTCCAACCTATGCCTTATTCAAAAGTAAAACAAAAAAGCACCTAACTTCATCCTCGTAGTCTCCTACCTAGTGCTTCAAACACGTACTGTATCTTGTGCTACGCACTCCCCCAATATATGGGCCTAAGCCATGCAACTTCATTGTAATCACTGCTATCAACTTATATCATGGTTGCTATGTTGAACACAAATTTTACTACAATGTCCCTGTTAATATTCTCCAAATTTTGCTATTTATTAGATTAAGGACTATCCCGAAATGCTATGCGTGCTAGTGGCTTTGCAAGAATGTAAAAACATCAATGCTGTATACTCTCATACACCCAATGTACCTTCTTGTATAAATAAATAAAGAAATAGTTACTGTTAGTACACTTTTTATCATGCCATTTGGAGTATGCCAAAAGTACAAAACATGATAATTTTTGGTCATTTGGCCAATACTGTAGTTGCTACAAGTACAATTATTTTTGGAGTATGGGTTGAATAAACCCTTTTATCCCCATCAGATGCATTTTACGTTCTCACAATAATTGCAAGGTTTGGTGTGCAGGTTTACATGGAAACTGCTTACTAATAATGCTTACCAACAAACTGAATTGCAGTGTTTCTACTATAGGACATTTATTTCATAAGGATTTCCAGAATGTCTATTGGTTTTTATATTGAAAATAAGTTTGTTTTATTAATACATTTTCCCATTTCCTTGTACCTTAGTAACACTGAAACCAATAGTCATGCGGTTGACATAATTTCAGTGGAGGGCAATATTGCTAGTCACTGCACTGTCATCCACAACTAGAGATTGGCTTGGCTGAGAAGTTATGTACATTATAGGCGTGACCATGTGTAATTATAGAAGTGTAGTTACAGGATTAGAGCTATGTTTGTGGTGTTAAGTCTTCCCCTATAATCTGTGTTATATGACACTTTGAAATTACCAATGGTTTTGGCATCCACCACCTCACTTAAATTGTTCCAATCCTCCACAACTCTACAACCATCCTTAGTGTAATTACTAAAGTATAGTTATAGGGTGAGAGCTATGCTCGTGGTGTCCCATCTTTCCAGCAATCTGTCATATAACACTTCAAAATTACCAACTGTTTAGGCCTCCACCACCTTCTCCCTTAACTAGTTCCAACTATGTGTAAGTCTAAACAAGTTACATTACCTTAACAAATTTTATATTCACAAAGCATTTACTTTTATCAAATACATGTTTTTAAATAAAAATTTACAGCATGGCTAACATTAAATTCATCTGTAGGCTTTATTTTCATCACATTTTCTAGGCCTAGCTAGAGAAACTGAAGGAGAAGTTGTACACTTTGTTTATCTTTTACAATTTGGTGTTTGTGAACCAAGGCTTCATTATGGTGAATACTGAATACCGAAATATTTTCACAACCCCCTGATGTTGTTCCTAAATATGTTATTAATCCTCATCAGTATTAATTTCACATCAAAGTAAAACCCCCCCGTAACATTGACTCAAGTTGTAGACGAGACATTTATGAAGTCCTTCATGATATTATTATTATTAATGCCTTGGTATGTCAATACCGAGTCATTGTTTGAATATAATTTTTTTCTTAAATCTCATATTATTGTGAACAAACAATTAATTAAAGGAATGTGTCCGACAGCTGTTCATAAGAAACCTCTAGTACAAATTTGTACTCTGTATAGAAATATAAACTGCTTAGAATTTACACAAGAATATAATTTTCTTATTTTAAAGTTACACTAATTCTTATGCAAGACATGTCTGGCATATTTATAATAACTGTACTAAGGATTCTGACAAACATTTTAAGTTTGATAAGAATGGTGGAGAGTGGGGAAATTTGGCCTAAAAAATATGTGCAGAGCTGGATCCACTCAAGCAGCTTAGTCAAGTAGCACTAAGACAATACACATGGAACCAAGAGATAGTAGAATACACTAAGTCAAAAATGTTAACCACAAGGAGCCCATCTGAAGCTTCCTACAGTCGAAACCATGCTGACTCGTCCCTATACATTATTTACATAGATTTTAGTGGTGCATCATTGCATGCTTAAAAATGTGTACAGTATAAATGTTTAATTTCAGCACTGCCAGCTATCCTAGTACCCCGTGGGAGTAGCAGCAGCAGCAGTAGCAGCGGGGGTGGTAGTGGGGGTGTGGGAGGCTCAGGCTCTGACCCCGGCTCAGCCGAGGATTTGAGTTCTCTGGCTGACCTCACAGCAGACAGTGTTAGCGACTCTGCATCTCTTACCTCAGTAGCGCCCACGCTAGAGCCGCAGCCCACCTTTCCCCCCACTGAGTCCCCACCGCCGGGCTACATGAGCGAGGACGGCGACAGCCATGACCTGCCCGACATAACAGATTACTCAGGTGTGCAAACAATTTTGTTTTGTGTGTAACATTTTTCTTTTAGAGATTGTTATGAACCGTGTCAGATTTAATTAAACTTTTCTTTTTTCATTCATCATCCAGTTTTCCACTTTTGGGGAACTTTTTTGATCAACCAGGCTGTAATTCATACGTTAGGTTGGGAGTAGCTGCATCCATCAGCTTGGTTCACCAGTCCAGCAACCAAGAGGCCTGGTCGAGGACCGGGCTGTGGGAACGTTTAGCCCCAAAATCATCGCAAGGTAACCACAAGGTTGGGGGAATTGGGATGCAACAGATCTGGTATCACTGATGGAAGAGTCTCAGAAACAGGAACTATTCACATATAATGGCAGTGTTCAACCCAATGTGGTGGAAATGTTAAAACATTTGTCTTACGCAAAGCAAATTTGAAGACATGGTTAACTACAACATTACCTCTGATTGTAATGGATGCACAAGTGTTGAACAAGATAAACGAACAGTTAAAGTCCAAGAGGATAATGTTTCTCAGTGATATAAGAAAGGGGCAAATTTAAATGACTGAAAACTTGTCATGGAAGAAAATGGAGGGAATAATACTACATCTTTGATACATTCATCCCATGGTGGTGTTAATTGTTTCTGTGGAAAAACAATACATTCTAGAATGGCATCATACTTTGTAACATAAGAACATATGGATCTCATATGTGCTCTCTTATTGTATACTTTTAACATGCATTGTACATTTCTTTCCACCTTTCGAAGTGAGAGAACTAATTCATTAGATTCCCTGCCTCTCAATCTCTTTGCTGAAGCTACATGTAATATCTCTGAACGTCTATCTCCCTAAGTTGATTTCTATCCTCATTATCTCATTAATATGATTAATAGTTGTGTACTGTATGAATTTGTGAGTCCCTTTAAGGACATTAAATAGACAAGGGGTAGAAATAGCCTAAGCTATTCTATCCTTTTGAGATGTACTTCAAAACCTCATTAAACTTACTTGAACTTGATTGGTGCATATCATGCCGATTTTGTTTTGTTTTTGTTTTTTCTTTCTTCAGTTTGTAACACCTCAGGGCATTCCTCTTATGTGATGCTTAGTACTGAAGTTTCACTCAAAGGGGAGGATCCCTACATTCCTTTCCTTCATGCAAGAATAATCACAAAAAACGTGTGATGCTGTTATGCATATGTATCCAATATGAAAATGAAATGAAAGTAACAAACATTTTTGGGTTTAACACATAATTAAGGAATACAGCTTGATAAGGTATTCTTTGATGTGTTGAAACATAAAAATGTTCAGAATTTTCTTTTAATTTTCCTAGTGGATACTGATGCGTTCTTTTCCTTGTGGAGGGCGACTGTGATTGTAGCCTCATTTCAGGGTTCTCTGGGTTTTGCCCACAAAGTAGTCCATACTTGGAGTGTGTCAGACGTGTTCATGGATGACCTCTCCTGCTCCCGTCCAATAAAAGAGCAAAAGATGAAAGTGTCATCCTTTCACTGGACATGCAAGACATTCAGATGTCCACTAATAAATATTTATTTCAACACGGAATCAGCTGCCTCTGTGATTGTTTCCCCGACTGCGAGACCTTTGTGGTAGATAGTTCAGTTTGAATTGGAATCATATGGATTTCCTTTACATCTTTTCTCCAGTCCAGATGGTCTTGTCACTTAGAGAGATCAAAGATCTTAGCAAGATTCATTGTTCTGCATGCTCCTATGTGGCTGGTTCATCTTTGGTTCTAGGCTCTCTTCTTTGCCCGATTTCAAATGTGTTTTACTGCTCCACGAGCAGCCAGTTTGTGCTGCTGATGCTCTTCACTGCCCCCATTTTTCTTAGGAACTGTGTTCGATACCAGTTCATTTGGCAAGTGGCCCTAGTGTCTGGGTGTCCTGTTTGGTCTTTACTGTCAGATCCTGGCAAGTCCTGTGGATTTTTGGTATGGATCAATATTGATCAGCTTACTGAGCCCGTACTCACTTTTTTGTGAATTTGATGGATGTCCATCTGTTTTACTATATGCCAATGGTTATTTGTACTGTTTCTATGCTGATTTTCGAGTTGGTATTGCATCATACTTGGGAGGCTTGTGACTTTTAGGTTTGCTGGCTCCATTTTTAGCTTGAGCCTCTGTCTAACTTTATTCTTTACTTTATTCTTGTAGTGACGAGGCTTAATTTTTTAACTTTCTGATCTGTCGGTGCGTTCCAAAACATAAATGTTCTGGGTATCTTGGCATCCTGCTCAGTGACACCTAAAATGTTCATACTCTCCATGTTTTTTAGGTTAGTGTTTGGACTATTACATAGCAACTACATTAGAAATAATGTAGCAGATACTTAAATGTTCCAGTAATTCCACATACAGTACTACAAATGACATCTGCACATATGTCCCCATGAATTCCACATACTAAAAGTAGTAGCATCTACACGTATTACCCCAAAATTCCATGTACTACAAATGACACCAAGTAGTTCCCATCAAGCAATAATGAGCAGCCTTGCTCTAAGCAGAGTCTGATGTATGGGGGACATAAAACAGTCTGGCCACAGCATCATGGCAGTCTCAACACAGCTCGGACAGAAGCAACATATCCTCTGATCTACCTCAATTGGCGATCTCGCAACACAGCCATCGGCAACATCGCCTCTTAACAGCCTCTGTTCCACCAATCATGACTAGATTATGCCACCACCAGCACTCAATAGCTGCCCCTTATGGTTCACCTTATGATGATGTCATATCATGTAGCAGCTATAGCTGTATCCATTTACATCAAATATATATCTAGTTAGCATGTTGTGTGTTAATTGTAACATCTTGTTACCATATTGTGTATTAATTGTCCAAACCTATAAATATTGCTATGAATTTGGCATAAAAATGTGATTTGATAACGTAATTTGCATGACAATACTGAATATACAAATTTTTATGAACATTGCAACATTCATTTAATTTTCCAATGTTGATACAAATATAACAAGGAAATGTGTGCAAATTATAAATCAGTTGATTTATAATTTGCATTCAAACATTCAAACGATGCAACAGAATTTGCCCTTAATGTGTGTACCCAGGATAAATGTCAAATGTTATAATCTCCATTGAGGTCTGATAAAAACTTTTTTGTGCCGAAGTTTTTTTGCGCTACTGCTCACAGGACGACTATGGGTTGCATAATAAACTAGCCACCTCCGGCGGCAGCAATCGTCAATCTTGTTGTGCTAAACTTAAGGAGAATGTCCATTGTTGATGTTACTGACCCAGAACAGAGAAGATAACTGAAGAGAGACAGTTAGTCCAGTGACATGCAATGAATGAGAATACATGTGCCACAGGCATTCACCAATAGCACAAGTCCACTATGGTTAGAACATAAGGCACTTGACCGAGGTGTACTGATCTGTCAGTCTGAACTGCATGTGAGACTAGCAAGAACAAGTTTGAGCTGGGCAGATTAGGAAATTCTGTTTTTGTACTGCTGCCACCATGCAGCCCGTCCTCATTAACAATGGCCAAAAGTGATTCCATGCACCCGCCAAATCCTGTTTATGAATGAAAATCAGGAATGAACTTGGTCTAAGAATGGGTTGCACCATGAGTCATGTTCCTATGATAGCAAGCAGCACTTGAAATGGCTTTTTAATTTATGTGAATGATTCTTTCTAGAGGTCTTTCTGGGCTGGATTGAATATTTTTTTAGTCTCTTCCTTGGTGCAGTATAACCTGACTAGTTATTTGAAAAGAACCTGCTTGTACAGATAAAGGTGCAAAATATCAACTGTCCCCGATTACATAATTTTTGTTCATGGGACCAGCATGACTTTGTTAAGGGGGTATCAAAGTTGTATAGATCTAACATAATATTTTCTATATTATTGACTTGCTTGAGACTTGTGCTCATACTTTTGTGAAATCAACCACATTCAATGAAAAATGGTCTCGGTTTTTCATTACTGTACTTAAAACTTTTACATTTTGATGATGCTAAAACTTGTCATCCGCAAGATGAGTGGCGCTGCCCAATAAACTCGCCCCTCGGGGCAAAATTTAAAATTTGTCATCCGATTCTATTCATAAACATTAGTATATTCATCATTGTCATGCATAATCTATTATAAACACTTTTGCTTCTGTTCTCTAGAGAATTTATTTGAAACATTTTGACACCAAATTTAGTTATACTCTACCTAATGAGAAAACTAAATGATTGCAAACATTTTAAGCATCACTGAGCAGGACCGGCCTAGCCCGCTGTGTTTACATTTGACAATGTATAGTAAGAAGCATTATCTATTATAAATGTTTTTGTATGTGTTTCTATTCTGTAGACAAGTCATTTGCAAACCTTTTGATAGTTATAGTAATAAAACAACATATAAAAACAAAACAAAAAAAAAGATAAGTGTAACAAATTCACATATATCGCTGAATGGCTTGGGAAGCCTAGATTTTGTTCATCGGAATGTTTATGGTCAGGAACGTGCAGAGAGGCCAGACTGCCAAAGTGTTAAAAACATTTTCTAAGTCCCCCTCACGTGGAACCGATAGTCTTCTATATTGCGATTAAAGGAATGCTAAAAGATATTGTTACTTTTATTTCATGTTTGATGGTGAGTATGCTCCATCCATTACTGTTGCAGTCTTGAGTTCAATAAAATGAAAGCTAATCCCATGCCTATTCGTAATGTGTGATAATTTGTTCCATAAATCTACAACCCCCATTCCTAAACCATTATTTACCAAGATCTTTTCTGAACCTAAACTTATCCAGTGACATCAAATAAACTTGATACATAGGTCAGCTTGTCAAAATCCCAAAATCGTGAAATGTGAGATGCAAATTTGCAAAATGTTTTCAGAGTGAAATTTTTGTTAAATAATTTTTATGGAATGATTGTGAGGAGACCCTAACTAAGCCTGAGTAGTTGGTCCCATATTACCCAATGGCAGAGTTGCTTGTGATGTGTCTGTCTTATAATTATTTTATTTATAA